GAGAGGCGGGGGGGAAGAAAACCCAGGAAAAACAAGTGATGCAACCGCTCACCCCCTGCCAACTGACACACAGTCAGTCCCCAAGAGCAGCGATTTGCCCCCCGGCCAACTCCCTCCAGCTTATGTACTGAACATGACATTGTATGGTATGGAACATCCCTGTGGGCAGTTTGGGTCAGCTGTCCTGGCTGTGCCCCCTCCCAGCTTCTTGTGCACCTCCTCGCCAGCAGACTATGGGAAGCTGAAAAGTCCTTGACTTAGCATAAACACTGCTTAGCCACAACTAAAACATCACTGTGTTACCACATTATTCTCATGCTAAATCCAAAACACAGCACTGTACCAGCTACTAGGAAGAAAATTAACCCTATCCCAGCCGAAACCAGGACAGACACCAACACCACAACGTGGGCTTTCTATCAGCCAAACAAATCAAGGGCACTTTTGCCTGTATCTTTGGTTTAGACAAGGTGAGTGAGGTCCCATCATCTGAGCTGTCCTCGTGGCACTGCTAAAGCCTGAATCGAGTTGGGGATTCACCTCTATCCACCCTCGCAAACCGTCCTCAACACAACACTCAACTAGGTCAGGTTAGACAGGATGAAAACAAAGTGCACAAAAGATGTGAGGTTTGTGTCCCGTTCCCCACAAAGGAGTAAATTAAGCCTTTGGCTTGATGTGCATCTGCGCCTACTTTGGGTGCGTCAGAGCAACAGTCACCCTGTGCAGCCACCCACCAGCCCTGCCGCGAGCGGAGCAAGAGGCCAAAACCCTGCTTTTCCTCCCCAGCATCACAGCAGGCCCGAGGCGTCCTGGGGCTGAGCTGGGTTCGGGGTGCACAGCACCACCTGAAAAAGCCTTTTAAGTGCAAATTCAGACAGCGATTCCCTGCCATCAGCGTCGCCGCAGGCAGGTGGCATTTGAGCAGAAAGTGAAAAGGTTGACACGCAGCAACTTTCTGATGTTTTGTGGCATCTGCCAAGACACCTGCAAGTTCTGCATTTGGCCCGGACACCACCTGCCTGCGGACGAGCTCCGCTGCCCCTGAGCACCCACCCAGCTGGGTTCCTCCCGGGGCTTTCAGCCCACTGAAAGCTTCACCACTTCGAGAGAAGCATTGAGTCACTGCAGAGACAGGAAGGGTGTTTCCGCAAAGTACTTGCGGAGAAGCCTCGGTGTGATACAAAGATAGTGCCGGGGCAGAGACCTTTAGCTGAAGTTTAAAACTAATTTTAGTACATAGAGGAAGAGTCAGAATAGTAGCTCTTTGCATTAAGGTGTTTAATTTTTTTTCTCTCCGGTAAAATTACTGATCTGTAAGGATTGCCATTTGCACAACGATTCAGACTTGCCTTGAACTAACGGCTACAACTGCGCTTTTATATGAACACTTTCATTGCTTTCAGTAGCCACAGATAATACTCGACTTATGCATCCTATTTGTATCAAACTTAATTTTCTCAAGTATATATCATTCACATGAAGACATTCACCATTAATGCTCTCAGCAGCAGCAGCAGCACTTTTCACCTCAGGACACTTAAGCAACCCGTGAACCCTGATCAGGACCAGGCACGACATGACCTTAGTGGTGCTGAAAAATGGAACATGTGGAGGTACCCAAAATGCACCATTTTCTTGAGTCTACTCTATTGCAGCGCGAAGGTCTTTGGCATCATTGCAACTTAACGTGGGGATAACCGCACTTGATTTCTGATCAGCGTTCTCAGCTGGGTGGCAGAGAGCTGCCCAGCCCAGCCCAGCCCCGTGCACAAGCTGCTGCGGCCAAAGTGCGAGTGCTTCATGGGCAGTGGCAGGGAGCGTCTGAGCTTTGTCATCCAATGTCAGCTGGTTGCAGATTCAAGGCCAATTTCACAGGCGGGAAAAGCAGAGCACTGGGATCAG